AGAAGAATAGAAGCTGACGTGGAACTTTGAGATGAATTCCAAACTACTGGAGGGAGGTAAGGAGGTCTCGGGGCTGTTCGTCAGAATCCTGAATGGGTAAGATTAAGTCTAAAGCCGGTGACATTCTCTCTAACAAACACGAACTGTTAGAGCGGTGGAGCGAATACTTTAGGGAAATGTATGATTGTGCCCGGTTTGTTGACACTGTTAGTGAACCTGGATAGGGTCGGCAGTGCTAGCAACTGGAGAAGACGTTTGTATGGAAGACTGGTCGATATATAGAATGGTCGATACGAAGCTTAAAAAATGGAAAAGCAATGGCAATTGACATGGTTTATGCTGAGATGATCAAACTGGGTTATATAGGAGATGCTTTCTGGTTTCTATGCAATCTTTGCTGGCAGGCCGGAAAGGTCCCAACGGACTAGAGGACGCGGTCAGCGTTCCCTTGTATAATGCCAAGGGTTTGCGCATGGACTGTGCGAACTACAGAGCCATTCGTTTGATCAGCTTACCATCTAGATAAATACTTGAAAGGAGAATGAAGGTGCAATCAGATGGAATGTTGTGGGAGGCAAAATTTGTACGGCACGGATTGTATTTTGCCTCCCACAGCATTCTAGGATCTGTAAAGTATAAAGTGGAAAATAATATTTATACATTACTTATAGACTACAAGTCCATGGCAAAAATTGATGGGTCACTTGGAAGGACATTAAATAATAAGATTCAGCACTATTCCGTCACTGGGGGCCAATCGCCTAACGGAAATGCTTTGGGAAACGCTAACGCTTACGATTTTATATTGTTATTTCTAGCCGCCTGAGGTTTTGGAATACCTCACGCTAATTTTTTTTAATATTGTTATTACCAATGCAAAAGAAAAAGAAAGAGTGCGAGGCATTTGAAAACCTCAGGCGGCTAGAAATAAAAAAATAAAATCGTAAGCGTTAGCGTTTCCCAAAGCATTTCCGTTAGGCGATTGGCCCTCTGGTAAGCTGTCCAACTGAGTGTAGGTGAGAATTCAAAAGTACGGATAGAGGGAGTACATTTTGGTCATATATTTTTGTACGGCATTATATATTGTTACCATCGATAGATCCATGAAAAATAATAAGAAAACTCGTAGTGCCGTACAAAAATAATGCACCACAGAGTCGTGAAAACTTTTAATTTTCCGATGATTATCAGGCTAAGTTTGGTCATTTGATTCTGTGCGGCATCGGTTTCGCACTGTTTCAATACCTCTTCTTATTCATTATTTCGCAATAAAGGGGGAAAAATCGACGGTTGCAACCTCCTGCCCTTCCATGGACGATGATTTGTAAAAGTACGGCACCTACAACTTTTTTTAACATGATATTGCTAAATACAATTGTTATATAATACTGCCGTTAAAAAAAAACGTTGTGAAAGAAATTATAGAGAAAAGCAAAATGCCATTTTTCAAATTATTATAATAGTTTCAATAATCATAGTTTAATGAAATATAGCAATTTTCTACATATCATCGTGGTTTCAAATATTATTCAGGTAAATAAGTAAGGGAAAACTTATGCCGTACATTTTAATGCAAACCATGAACGTATAAAAAAAGGCGGACAGAGTTTCGGCTAAGACAATACTGAGGCACCGTAATGGCGGCGGCTATTGATGAGTGAGTGAATTGTAGGGTTGCTAGGTTAGCCAATTTTTTACCAATAAAACACAGTAAAAACATGAAAATATTTTGATTGTTCAAAATTTTACTTTTTTCCCGACTGCGGAGGATAATGTTTTTCGAGCGTATGTATGCATGTATGTATGTCCAATAATTTGGCACGCCCTATAGCCTGAACGTCTTGACGGATTTTGATATGCGAGGTGTCATTTGTCGTGATTGTGTGAGTGGCACTCGGTATATTAAAATTTCAAAAAATCAAAATAACAGATTTTATGCGCCAAAATGAAACATTTTGAAAAAAAAGTATAAGTATTTTTATAACCCGTCAAGCGAGGTATCAAAGTGAAGGGTTTTAAAAGAATATTTAGAAAATATACAACTCGTATAATTAAAAAATAATGAAATTAAAATGTCGAAAATAAAAAAAAATGTACTAAAAAGAAAAAAACAAGTCCAGTAGTCTAGAATTCTGTTTGAACAAACTTAAAGGAACAAAGTTACATTAACAGTCGGGACTCTTTAGGCATTGTCCTAATACAACGCGATAACGCGAATGAGCGATGCGATCATCGTACGAGTCGACGATCAAACATATTGATCTAGAATAGATGTCCTAATAGGCGATCGCGCGATGCATTCGCGCGACTAAAATGTTTAAAAATCTATTCGCGCGAATCAAGTTTGCGCGAACGCGCAATCAAACCTATTAATGATGAATAGGTGTCCTGACTGAAGTTCGCGCGATGATCGCGTCGCGTCGATAGGAAGCGGGGAGAGAGGCAGGGCTAACCCGTTCCGTATTCGCGTTCTATTAGGACACCCAGTTCGCGATCACGCGATGGTCGCGTCGTTTAAACGCGCGATGATCGCATTATCGCGTTGTATTAGGACAATGCCTTAGAAATTCTAGAATGTATCGAATTTTCTCAATATTGGGTAAATCAACTAAATATACATGGCCTGGCCTGCAATCTCTTTCATATTTCCTAAAATAAACTAACACCCATTGAGTACTGTTTGTAATTGAGGAGTTCCATTGTTTTCCTCCGAAAGTACTCATCAGATCTCCAGTAAACTAATATGCAGCCATCTCGCTAGTAAACTGATTAAAACAAAAAAAAGAATCATCATAAACGGTCAACGAATCTCGGAGATCTGCGCGAACAACAATAAAAAAAAACAAATATGACGCATTGCGAACCTCTTTCTTTTCGAAGTCGGTTAAAAATTTTAATCAACCTTTTGAGGTAATGCATACGTAATAACACGCCGGAGTCCTCCTTTAGTTGTATATAAGTCTTGAGCTTCAAAATGAAGACTAAAAATGACACCTACTACATATTTGTTTGGAAATCATTCATTTTCCAGTAATTTCTCCATACTACATTTTCTTTAGGAAATTGAAGTTAATGTCAACCCAATTTCCCAAATTTTAGGTAATATGGTTACATGAACATTGGCAACACTGGGCTTTAGACTAATCATTTTGTCCTTAGAATTAAAATTGATTTCGCTTTCTGAAAACTAGAAAAAAGTGATTCAATTATTCATTTACCTATGAAACGTGATTCCTGGATTTTTTTTCTTTCGGTCACTACGGTTTTTACACCTTTTCACAAGCAAGATATCTTGTTTAGCTTATTTTTTATCTCCACATAACGTGTCGGCTGCTTTGACGTTTGCACGCGTAGTGGCTGACTATTGTGTGAATGTGTGCGTGCCGGCTTGTACGTACAGCGACCTGGCCGACTCTGAGCGACACAGTTTATTATTTACCGGGACTCTGTCCGCCTTTTTTTATAAGTCCATGAATGCAAACCATATTTTTTGCCTGATGAAAATGACACTGCCATTTCAGGGGTACTTTATGGTCATCTGATACTGATAATATCTGTAAATCAGTATGCCATCTATTTAAAGTGAAACAGTAAGTATATTATATCCAAAAATAAAAAACTTTCAATCTCAGTATGACATACACAGTTCGTATACTTTTTGATGTAATAGACACTTCAAAAATTGATATAATTTGTTTAATACAAACAATACAATCATATCGAAAATTTTCAAATATATATAATGATCTTTACAAAATTGAAAGAATAGGTTTCTCTTTGAAATTATTATTAATTATCTGAATCAGCTACTGAGTCGTCATCGGAATCAACGGAATCATCGAGTTCAGCATTCTTTTCTCTATCGTTTTCGGAAACATCAATATTGTGTTTTCATAATAAAAGTCTCCTGTACAAATTGAAAATGTAAAGATTTTTTTTTACCCATAATATCATCAGCTTCTTCGCAATGTATATTAATAATATGTATTCATCATTTTTATTACTTTTATATCAATATGAACTTTCACATTTGTACGGCATTGACTTTTTATAGATGATTTGCATTAAATAAGAAATGAACTAACTAAATGCAGCACAAAAAAATATCGCACTGAATATCACCCTGAAGTACATTTCGTTACGAGCTTTTCGAGAGTTCTTTCCCCGCTACAGACTTTTGGAACAAAAATATACGGCATGTGAATAACTGTTATCCATGCATAAAATACTTAATCATTTAATTTTATGTTTTGTCAAATCGGGGTGATTTGAGACCAGACCATAAAAGTGGAGGGAGTTGCAACCCTCGATATTTCCCCCTTGTCCCATGATTTTTGTACGGCATTGAAAAATAATGAATTAGAAGAGGTATTGAAACTGTACGAAACTGATGCCGTACAGAATCAAATGACCAATTAGCTTGAAAATCATCGGAAAATCAAAAGTTTTCACGACTTTGTTGTGCACTATTTTTGTACGGCACTACGTGTTTTCTTATTATTTTTCATGGATCTATCGATGGTAAGAATGCTGTACAAAAATATATGACCAAAATGTACACTCTCTATCCGTACTTTTGAATTCGCATCTGCACTCAGTTGGACAGTCGACCAGTGACGGCATTGTGCTGAATCTTGTTATTTAATAATGCCCTTCTAACTTTTTAAATAGGTCTTCTGGTGGTGCAAATGACCCATCAATTTTTGCCACGGGCCTGTAGTCTATTAGACATCCCAGGCATTCTATACATTGTCTAGCTAGGTATTGTAAAGAATACCATAATTGTACAAATTGCTGGTGACATATATAAAGATGCATAAATGGTGTCGATTCTAGCATGATTCTCTAAACCTAAACTTAAATTTGACAGCAGTATATCCTTGTCATTCTCTATACAGAATGAAAAGGAGAGACTGATGTTAAATTTAGTTTTAAGTTTAGAGAATCACGCCAGAATTGGCACCAATGTATATTTTCTTAACCTTGCTTATTAATTTCAGGATAAAATGGGTAGATCCAGCCATGTTTGCATATCTAAACACAAAATAATTTTAATTCACTCTTAAAAGAGTGATGGACTCATATAACTTATTTGGAGATGATGGAAGCGGTATGTTGGAAGGACTCACTGATCTTGGTGGTACAGACAGCTTTGCTGGTGGCTCTACGGCTGGAGTGACTGGAGAAAATAAAGAATCTGCCGAAAATAGGTGATTACCATATTTTCTGATCCCTATTTTGAATCGCTTTTTCGCTAGACTGTATTAAGTGCAACCCACTTAGTGTTAGATTAAATCAAAAAGGAAATATATAGCATGCTATTACTTACAATAAATCCTACCAATATTTTAAATGTGAAAGATGTATAACATATTTGTTACTCAATCGAGATACATTTAATATTAAGAGAGGTAGGGTATAACGGATTCTCCGCTCGAATTGGAGCGTCCTTCAGGGGAAGTATCCTCCCCCGTCAGAAGACCACAGTAAAATAACACTACCTGTGTTGTGTTTCTGTCAGTGAGTAAGGTTCCAAGGCTCCATGGTGTAGGGGATTGGGCTCATGGTAGGCAACTGCGCGAGTGATAATTTTAGTATATATTTAGTATAGCAAGCGTCTATAGGCTATGGTGGCCAACAACAATTAGTAGTTTGATATTTGAAACCCTACAATTCGGTATGAATAAATTCGAGAATGAGACTGATGAAAAAACATACTTTTTATATATACGCAATTTTCAGTTATAGGCAACCATATAATCAAGGCAGTGTGACACAAGAGGGATCCATTCAAAAACTGGCATCTTTTGGTGGAGGTGGTTCTGGTGGAATTTCCAATAACCCGCCACCGGTACCTCCTACAGGTGGAGGACCTCCAGGGCCGGAATACCACGAATATGGCAACTACCCCCCACGACCGCGCTTGCCACAGCCACCCCACGGACCGCTTCACCCCTCGCATCATGTGCATCCATCGCACTCTTACCCAGGGTACCACCACCCTGGGCCGGACCCAATGTACACAATGCCAGAGCAACCAGGTCAGTTATTTTTTAACTATCAAGAAATGTATTAAAAAGTAGAAATAGCAAGTACCAACACGGTATTAAATACCCTAGATACCAATACGAACGAAATCGTTGCCGAAACCTGCCCAAAAGGTACATTGGACGATCCACGGAGCTCCGTAAGATGATCGCGTAGTCAAAAATAATATGAGGCATTATTTAAACATTGAAAGTCACCTTTAATGCATACTCTATAAGGTCTTAAATTAAACGCATGTGTCAAAGACTTAATGAAAGTTCGAAATGCACGTTCGTAAAATTTTACGATTTATTGCTATATATGGAAGAATATAGATTTTGATTTAACGGGCAATTCTGAATGCGCTGTTCGCAATATAGCAGTACGGACCGCGAGGAAAAGAGACGGCTATATTATCGACCAAGCATTTGAATATCACAAATATTTTCAATGTAATCCGTTTTTAATAAGTATTACAACTAAATTTTCTTTAAATGCGTTGAATTAACGAATATTAATTAGATATCTGCTGAAAAAAACAAACTTTACAGACTACTAGTGGCCCGCCCTCGCTTCGCTTCGGTGTAGAGCTGTAGTGTAGACTACAGTTTTTGTTCTCAGGCGTGTGTTGAATTGAACACATTGAATTTATTTATTTAATTCTTTTTCTATGATTCTTTTTTTATTGAATAGGTAATAATGTTAACTTTTTTAAATAAGAGATGAGTGAGAGTATTGTAAACGTAAGAGTAAACAAATATAATCAGAATGCTCCGAACTGCTAAGCTATCAGGAGTTACACGTATTATTGTGAGTAAACCATAAAAGATAGACATATGCTGTTGCAGGATATTTTTTAGACAATTTTATGTAGAATATTTCCGTGATACATGATTTCTATGTAACTTTAACCATTAAGGCTGCGCACGCGACGGAAGCTTAAAAAATGGAGTAACTTCTCCCGTTTTCCCAACGGGAAATCACTACTCTGCTCCTATTGATTGTAGCGTGATGAAAAGTATACTATAACCTGCCGAAACGAAACTTGGTACAATTATTCTTCATACTCCTGGTATGAAGAATAATTGTACCAAGTTTCGTTAAAATCCGTCTAGTAGTTTTTGTTTCTATAAGGAACATACACACAGACAGACAGACAGACAAAAATTTTACTGATTGCATTTTTGGCATCAGTATCGATCACTAATCACCCCCTGATAGTTTTTTTGAAAATATATTTCATGTACAGAATTGACCTCTCTACAGATTTATTATAAGTATAGATAAGTATTTTTTTCACATTTTTTCATGGAGCTGTGCGGCAACTTGACTTTTCAACGGTCCCCGCGTAAGTGTGAACCAAGAAGTGCGTGAGTCGTGTTCACGCACTACTTGATTGGCACACATTTTGAGCGGACGTGGTGTATCTTGGGTATTTAATATCGTTGCCTACTAAGTACATATAAAAGTATTTTGGACTAACTACATAACATAATATTCTATCTATATCAATAAGAGCTATTACAAAAGTGTGAACTAATTTTTGGTCTCTATCATACTTTAATAATGAAAAAAACACTGTAGGTATTGGAGATATGGGAGTTTGGTCTGGAGCTCCAGGAGCCAATAGATACACGCCCATCGCTCCTGGATACAGACATTCCTATGAACATCAACAAAAGATGCACTATTCACCACAACAGGTATGTAAATCAATTAGTAAATGTACAATTAAAAAGCCATCAGATTAGGACAGCGGCCCTACCAATTTTATAGCCATATATAAATTATACGAAATGGGATCGATTTATCTTTTGAGAATTGATAAATTTAATTTAAGTCGGCCGAAAAAAATTAAGTACGATAAATAAATTTAAAAACATTTGTCTTTAAAACAAACAGAAGGAGGTCGTTTTAAGGGCAGGGGGAGTCGGTGGGTCGGGGGAGTCAGGGATGTTCGGGGCGTCAGGAGAGTCAGTGGGGTCAGATATTATATTAAAGTGTCCCATAGGGGGGGTCAGAGTGGTCGGGGGTGCAAGGGGAGTCATTGGGGTCGAGGGTGTTTTGGGGAAGTTTGCGAGGGTCAGGGGATTTATAAGACGTATTTTTTAAATATGAATTGCAATCCATAAAGTTTCTAATGTTCTCTCCAACTACCCGAAGCAATTCGAGCTGTTTTCGTTCGAAAAATGTCCCATTCGGCATTATGAGATAGCACTATTTCATTTATACTTCAATAAAATCGAATTCTATTTTTTTTCAAATTTGTGATTAACTCGAGTGCATGAGAATTGATTTATTAAAGACACTAAACTTGCAAGAAGCGCCCTGCCGGTATCACCCGTAGCACCACTCACAAGATCTTTTATGTGTTGAGGCGTAAGACCATCCAGACCTCCAGTCGAACCATTCTTGAAAGAATTTATAGCTACCAGCACGTCCTCCGGCGACGCTTCTATAACGCTCTCCGAGCCACTAGGTGGCCCCGGCAGAACAAGATCTGTAGCTGGTGCCGGATGTTTAGACAACAATGACTGATATGTGTTGAAGTTATCCGGAGCAACGGTATCTGAAGAAAAGCATAAGCGTGCAGCTCCTCTTAAGTCCCCATCATTAACTTTAGTCTCGATCATTCTATTAATATTATAAGTCCCGGCCCGAACAGGAAATGTAAGGGTACAGTTTTCATTTAGACAATTATCTCTGATCTTTTTAGTCAATGAGGTACCACTGTCTCTTGATACATGCAGGGTCCTATAAGAAAAGGAAAGGAGTTGCACCCAACTCGTTTTATCATTGCTGTCCAAGACATTGTCCACAACCTTTCTTAGACTTTCTGCGACCGCTATTCTGGCACCACGAGGGATTCTTTTAACCAAAGGTAAGGCGTGTCTATATCTGCCCAATAATTTCCGAAGTGGCTCAAATTCAGCCGATATATTAGCTCTGTTCGGAGCAAAGTCCGAAGCGGAAGAGGTACTAGCAGATATTTTATGTACTTTTCCTACATGAATCCTTAAACCCCTTGTACTCTTGAAATATTTAGGTTTGCGACACTGATCACATTTTACTAAACTATTCATAGAAAGAGTGCCTGATACAGACTGTGAAGCATGCAAAGAAGAAAGTGGCTGAGACATACCTTTCAAAATGTTAATATTTCTAAGTTTTCAATAACATGCATAAAAATATTGATACCTAACAAACTAATGTGGAGTTACTTTTCTATCAAAGTGGTAATACTTAGTTATTCGAAAAATAAATATTATTACATATACTTTTTCTTCTTTTTAAAAAAGCTGAGCATTTTACAACATGAATTATGGAAGATTTGAAATCTTTTATTACATTTTATTCACATAAGATAAAAAAAATATATATATTATTACTTTCTTATTTTTATACCAGATAAGCACTTTGCAACTTAAAATAATAATAGTGAGGCAAGACAATATCAATTTCACTTGAATTTATAACATTTAACCACATCTAACAAAAATAAAAATACATTAAAATAACAATATTTGGAAACATTCAGAAAGACTATGATAGAATCTACGTATCTCTTATCTATTAGACAAGTCCGTCCGTCCGTCTGTGGTGCTGTTTCAGCGGCCAAACCGTAAGAGATAGATAAAGAGAATGTTTAAGTTATAAGTTGAGAATAGTCTGATAAGACTACAAACCGGATGTGAGTAACGTAGCACTTCCGGTTTTCGAGAAATCACGTCATTTGTATTTCAAACGAAACCACACAAAATCTCCGAAGTTCTCAATTAATTAATTATTTTTTTTGGTGAACATTTGGTTCACTGGTTTGCTAGTTATTCAATATTTTATCATCAATTATTAAATTATTATACCTATACATATTATATATTTCACCGACTGATATGTATGTATTAACTGCAATTTACATTCAAATATTCTGATTATTTTGGCTATAGAAAATTATAGACATACACACATTATCAACAGAATAACATCATATATATTTATTAAAAGGGAGGATCTTTGTTGTGATACTGGACGCGTGCTTAGGTAAGGTCGAGCCCCACGTTCCACAAGGATATATATAAACAGTGGGTCCCAGCCAGTTTTCTCCCAAAATCTTTGCTATTATTTATCTCCTTTTATTCAGCGATTGCAGAGCTTTTAGCTTTTTCTTCAGTAATATAATAGTAGCCTTCCACGGCTCTGTTCTATATTATTACCTTTCAATTGCCTTGGTTTCAACAAAAAGGAGAAAAAAAAATACAATCTGCTTCCCATGTTCCATACTCGCCAACAGTCTATCCATTGCTTCGTACATTTGGTAGTTCCATATTTTAATAAATAAATCTTAAAAACATAAATATGATTTGTTACTCTCGGTGATTTAAACTGAAGACCTGTTGTGTTATCAATGCGGAGACTACACCACTGCACCAATGATCCTATCGAACGAGGAAGCCAAATTAGCAGCCGTATCCACAGCTTGCTCGATGCTTTTCGTCCCTTGGGAGTTGAGGTCAGTTTGAGAAAAGAAAAAATAACCGACAAAATAGTTTTTCACATTAAATTATCCAAACGGGCCACTTTAAAGTTTAACTTCTTTTCATTTGCTTCAGTTTTCACAGTTCTGTTTATGATTTTTTGATGAAAATTGCGTTTTAACACGGTTTTGTTTTCTTCCTTTTTTGAAACCACTGTTCACTATTATATTTGTAGATATATCACTTAATACTTTTTATATAACTCAGACAACACTTGCACTTCGGAAATAGCATGGAAATAACATATTTCACGTATCTAAAAGTTAATTGAAAAACAATATATGTTTTTAAGTTAAAATACATACGGAGCTTATTATTATCGTGGCAACAGCGCCATCTCTCCTCTGAGAAATTAAGTTTTCTTATGAAGAAAACTAACAAGTGGAGCTTGTTGTGTCATTTGTCATGAACCTTTCCTGTGAAGAGGCGAGCACAAAAATATAAATTTTAGAAATTCTACCACATAATAAGAATAAAGCCAGACACAAAACTCATTTCGGGAACACATTTAAATATTTTTTTAATAATAATATAACCAACACATTTAAAAATCACCTTCAAGAAATTTTAATTAACCTCTTCCTAAATCGGATATTGTTTTAATTGTGTGTATTTTTATATTGAACCATTTATTTTTCAAAGTACTCTCCATAAATTTTCAATTGGTGTTAATTTCGCTCTGTAATTTCAATTTATTGTATACTTTTTTGCACTTCCTTATATATTAATAATATATAAATGCAAAAATTTAAAGGTCATTTTATATTGTATATGCAAGATTTTTCGAAATGATGGAATATACTGTCCTCTTTTAATCCTTTTTTCGACTACTTTTCTTTTTATTTTTATCGTTTTCCATGTTTCTCTTATTAAATTAATACCTTAAACCAAAACTTTGCTTTGAAAGCCTTCGAGCATCACTTAGCCCAAAAATTGCCATCTCGGGAACGCCTGCCTTATTTTGTACGGGTTATGTACAGGAACTTTCCCAAAATGTCCGTTCCCGAAATGACTATTTGATAAATATTTTCATGTCACGCTTGACGCCGCCATGTTAGATATTGGTTTTAGATGTAATGAGCAAGTGAGCTGTAATATTTATAAGCATTCATCATTCATACATCAAACAGCGTTACCGTAGTGACAGGGAATTAAAGTACGCTTCACACATATCAATTTAAAAGGAACTTAGTAACAAATCTATTTGTTTTTCGTACTCACGAAACACCTTTTGATTTGACTAGTGAACTTCACGTTGATGCTCGCTAACAACTCGAAAACTGAGAAAAATAGCGGAACATACATGGGGTATTTTCGGATACCGCCAGGTGCGAGGAATCTAAAAAAAATGTTGACGTCACTAATTGGACCATCCTGTATATACAGTAGAACGCCGATTAATTATCAATAAACCGTCACACATAGAAATAACTTTATTAAGTTTAACAAACACAGTTCTACAATACTAGACACAATAATAGAGGTACATAGCAAAAAAAATTAATAGTTTAAAAAATTTAACATTTTTACTTACTCCACTAAAAGTCAAAAATAAACAAAATATACTCTCTGTTTACTTCATTAGGGCTTTACAGTAAGCCATGTTTAAAGTTTATTTTTGACTTTTTAGTGCAGTAAGTAAAAGCGTGTATTTAGTTTTTTAAACTATTAAATTATTTTTATCTTTTTAGTTTATTACAAAACATAGAACGATTTTATTGCGACTGAATACGTATCCTCTCCATTTTCGATAAGCCTTCACTATTGCAAGACTTTTTTATTACCCCCCTTTAACGTGAAATAAACAGAATATATTAAGACGAATGTATTGAGCCCAAACTCGATTTGTTTACTAGTAGGCAGTCCCGTGTCCATTAACCACCTTCCAGTCCATCATCAGGTCCTCGTCATCAGGAAAAATGAACAAAGACGAATCTAATGAGCCCAAACTCGATATATTTACTAGTAGGCAGTCCAGAGTCCATCAGCCACTTTCTAGTCCATCATCAGGTCCTCGTCATCAGGAGAAATGAACACAATGTGATAAAACGAATCTAATGAGCCCAAACTCAATATGTTTTCTAGTAGGCAGTCCAAGGTTCCATCAGCCAACTTCCAGTCCCATCATCAGATCAGCTCGGTGGTACCATGATATTGTATTGTCATCTAATCTACATATATTTGCCAGTGCATTTCTACGAGGCGCCACGTATAGTAGCGGCACGCTATGAAGGCCGGTTTGGCGTTTGTGCGTTCATGAAGTTTCATATTCAAAATTCGAAACTTGTTCTCCATTTGAAAAAAATATTTATAGTTCTTAATTGTTATAAAAATTTATCGAATCGGTAATTTTAGGGCGTAGAATCATAATTTTACAAATCTGTGTTATATTGTGGTCTAATTATATATTATGAATTCGGAAACGTTTTCAAGCTTAAAATAATTAAATATAATAAAAAATCACATTATATATCTTTATAATCTTTAAAGATTTAAGTAAATTATTTGATTGTGTTATTGTTATTATTATAAATAAATGTTATATGTTACAAATAATAATATAATTATAGTGTACCTTTATACGCCAAATAACTCGGAATTTGTGTTTTTTGCAATTCAAAATGTAAAAACTTGAAATCAATAAGATCACTACTTAAAGGATCGCTGAGTGTGAGTAAACATTTATGTTTTCATGTCATTAAATCTTTGTAATCAGCAACTTCCTGCAATTTTGGTAAAAAATTCAAAAAAAATAATATGTCGATGTGAGTCGTATTTGATTATAATAGATATTACTATTGTAATGTGTCAAAACGGCCATCATAGCATGCCGCGTCTATAGTGGTGAAAATTAAAAATTAAAAAACATATTTTGGGTCTTTTTTTGTATTAAAGTGAGCCAAACGTGTAGATCAAAAGCGCTACTAAGGAGGTTTGATCGAATTTAAAAATATACCGTAAAGATGATGTCATATACCGGAGCGTGCGGTAAAATTTTACTTCGCTCTGTTATATGGTGTGTAATTTTGAACTTTCGTACAATGTATACAACCTCCGTAAATGATTTTTTAACAAACGTGTTGAAAGTTATATATATCCTGTGATTGATCTATAATACAGGGTAAACAAATGTTACAGTTATTATGTAATCATTTTAGGCTTCCGGTATAGGAGCATTGCAGTCGCAAAATGGGGCCTATTTACCGCGACAACCTCATTTTTCACAACCTCCTTCACAGCATTATGCACAACAACAGGTAATTTTAAATATTTTGCTCATATTTTGTTACTATTATGAACGCATGTACAGTGGTGGTCGTATAATTAGAAGCACTACCAACGGTCCTTAAAATTTGTAAGATACTTCACCGCAACCTTTTTTTAAATTAAACAATAAATAGGACAAAAATATTTTCAACGGTTTATCATTTATTAGAAAGACAATATTAATCCCGTTACACAAGTGCTGTTTCAGTATTAAGATATGAACCAATAATGGTCAACTAATTAGAAACAACAACAAAAAAGTGTTAAAATAATATATTTTTGAAGTATTAGTAATGTTATTTACGAAATAGCTACTATCCACATCCTGCATTGGCAGTTTTATTATCAATTTTATTCTTTAAATGAAAAAAAAAAGAAAGAGCTATGGATGCTTGTTATGATATTGATTCCGTAGCCAAATGGCAAAAAACGGAACCCTTGTAGATTCGTCATGTCCGTCCGTATGTCATAGCCACCTTTTTCCGAAACTATAAGAACTATACTGTTGAAATTTGGTAGGCAGATGTAGATTTTGTGAACCGCATTAAGATTTTCACACAAAAATAGAAAAAAAAAACCAATAAATTTTGGGGGTTCCTCATACTTAGAACTGAAACTAAATTCTTTTTCCTTAAACCCATACGTGTGGGTTATCTATGGATAGGTCTTCAAGAATGATATTGAGGTTTCATATATATTGTTTTCTAAACTGCATAGTTTACGTGGGAGACACTTCTTCGCGTAACGGGTGCAGAGCGCACGGGGGGCAGGTTTTATATTATGTTACTTGCTGCTACGGAACCCTTCATGGGAGAGTCCGACTGGCACTTGGCCGCTTTTTTAAAATGTTTCTAATTAGGCGTTCAAGCGGCCAGTAACAGAAAATAAACCTAAATCCTACATGTGTAAGACTCATTTTGTAATTAAAAGTAAGTGTTATGTTTTATATTTTATGCATTTAATGAGTTATTTATTTGAGTGGCTTTATTATTGCATGATTATTAATTATTGAATGTTTATATTTTTTACGAATATTTGTACGTTGAATTTATACTTTCATTATTCATAAGAAGTGTTTCTAATTATATGGCCACCACTATATTCGTGTAAGCGTCTTTCATTTTATCTTCAAAAACCTTAAAAAAATTGAATATAGCATAGATTCCTATAGGGGTATACGGTATCGTAAGAAACTATGTCATCACGTACTCGTGATTGCGGGCTATTTTGAAAAAATCAAGGCAGCAGAGTCAGTCTATATGAATATCAAACTGAATAGACCGGGAGATAATGACACAAAATACTTGGTCATTTGTACCAGTATGGCGGTTCTTCAGGGGTCTAATTACGTAAAGGCAAAAAGGAAAATGATGGTCATAGCGCTCGCACCGGCGGCCCAATCGCGTGGGCGTTAATCGAACGCGTCGGATAAATAACGAGTGTCGAACGATTTGTTCCACAAAAATGCTTATATTTTCAGATAGTCGAAAAAAAGAAGTAGGCGGTAGCGTAATGCCATACTTCTCGGGTGTGAATTACAGCCCGCCATACCGACGCGAATACATTAATTTAAATAAAACAATTCAACCATTTGTACCAGGCTAATTTTTGCACAGCTAATCATCGTCGAGTAGCCATTCACGAAAATCACCTTGCCATACTTTTCCGACAGTTCCCAATGGCCGCCATACCGCTGCAAAGGAGTAATTTTTTTTTTTCGCCAAACTATTTGTACCAGTATTGCATTTGAATTTTTGGAAAGTATTTGGCAAAATGTGACCGTTATTATTTTTCCCATACTTCTAGTAGGGGGAAAAAGTGCTGCCATACTTGAAATACTTATTTATTTGACACGTTTTAAAAATACGACTGCAAAATACGTAAAATCATTTTTTACATCATGACATCATTGTATTCTCGTCATTTGGATGCAATTGTACGTAAAAAAATGATTACAGATTGTAAACATGGGGCGGATGACTGTCGGACTTGAGCTAAAAGGTGAAAAAGAAAAAAAAAATTGACGATTTGTACCAGTATGGCATTTGGATTTTTGGAAATTATACGATACAATGTGACCATTATTATATTTGCCATACTTGTAGTAGAGGGAAAAAGTGGCGCCATACTTGAAAAACCTGATTTTTCGACACGTTTTCAAGGTACAAGACATAAAATCATTTGTTACAGTATGGCATCATTGTATTCGGTTTATTTGGATAAAATTCAACCTAAAAAAAATAATCCCATACTATAACTATGGGGCGGAAGACTGTCACACTTGAGCAAGATATGAAAAAAAAATTTGGAACGAATTGTAAAAATATGGCATTTTAAATCATTTCCAAACTTGAAAAAAACAACTAAGTTTTGGGAAAATTACACAGTACTTATGGAGAAGTGCCAAAGTGATGCCTTACTTGAAAAAATAATTTTCGGATTTTTTTTTTGTGTTAAAAAATAAGCCTATACCGTGACCAGGGGGGCTGGAGCTGCCACACTCGCTCTGATATGCCGACAACTAATACAATCTTGAAACCTTTTTTCGAAATAGCCCACCTGTAATATCGTTCCCATACATTATGTCTTACCAACACGATGAGCCAAGACCTCTACAATTCGAGAAATCTTTCCAGCGGTGGGAACCGCAGAATATTATACAACATAAAATCTGCTTATAAGACAAGATTGCCGCCACTTAGGTGTTTGAAACTTTGTATTTATATTCGTTAAACCTCAAACTTACAGGAAAAATTAGTGCCATACTGGTACAAATCGTTCGAATTACGAATAAAATCTTGGGACTTTGAAAAAATATTGTTCACATTCGCCACCTCCCACAGGTATGGCATTATCAGACTTCTATTTATGATCATACGGGGAACTATTAAAAAAAGTTTCAGGGTGGTACAAATCGTTTGGCAAAAAAAAAAAATTACTCCTTTGCAGCGGTATGGCGGCCATTGGGAACTGTCGGAAAAGTATGGCAAGGTGATTTTCGTGAATGGCTACTCGACGATGATTAGCTGTGCAAAAATTAGCCTGGTACAAATGGTTGAATTGTTTTATTTAAATTAATGTATTCGCGTCGGTACGGCGGGCTGTAAGTCACACCCGAGAAGTATGGCATTACGCTACCGCCTACTTCTTTTTTTCGACTATCTGAAAATATAAGCATTTTTGTGGAACAAATCGTTCGACACTCGTTATTTATCCGACGCGTTCGATTAACGCCCACGCGATTGGGCCGCCGGTGCGAGCGCTATGACCATCATTTTCCTTTTTGCCTTTACGTAATTAGACCCCTGAAGCACCGCCATACTGGTACAAATGACCAAGTATTTTGTGTCATCATCTCCCGGTCTATGAAGGCTTTGAGAGGCACATAACAAAATTATTTCATTTGTATGTGTAGTCTACTTTTCGGACTCGGAACTCGTAGAATAAAAAGTGTTTCACGAAGCGGTACCTTGGTGTTTTTTTATATTTCTATATTTTTTGTAGTTTTGGATTACGATGATGATAACAAATTAAGCCGCTTTCTCGTTTTAAGAAATGAGTTGAATTTATGCCAAAATTTTGTTTTTCAGAATTATCCTAATTATGCCCAGATGCATCCACCAGCTGCATCCAGGATTTCTCAACATCCGACATACCACCAGCAGATGGATGTGAATCCACATCAATATGGTTTACCACATGGACAGCAAAGCCATCCTGGTATACCTCAACACCAACCCCATCAAGCTATGAGCCACGCAAGTGGTCTCACTCCAGGCATTCAAAATCATCCGAATGTGCACCTTCATCATGCAGGAGGTCCTCCTCTCCATCACGTTCCTCGTCAACCTCCAGGACCTCCTTCAGTGGCTTCGGCGGCACACCCTGTGACATCACAAATGCCATATGCGCCACCGCATCACACCGTACCATTGAATTATCAACCTCATCAAGTGCAACATCCTCTTGACATAAATGTAACAAATCAATACAATCCAGTTAAAAGCTCTGGTATTGAAACTGGAAGCCCACAGTATCGTCCACCGTTTCCACAGCTTTCTCCTCAAATGTCTCCTAGAGCTCAGATGTCTCCTCGTCAGCAGCAACAACCACAATTATCTCCCAGACCAGTTATGTCTCCAGTGAAAGGACCTAGTGCTTCACCACATGCTTCTCGTAATGTTGTTCAATCTCCTGCCTCGACGGGTACATCACCAACAACAAATACTTTCACTTCTCAAAATACACTACAGGCTCTAGAACAAATGGTTTTACCGAGTGGTGCGGAGTACCCATATTCTCGTAATCCAGCTTCTCCAGCGGTAGGACACGTCGTTTCTTCGCCATCACAATGGAACCAAAATAAGTTACCGCCTCCATTAAATCCTCCTCAAAACGAAAATACTGAGGTCAAAAATGTAGAAACTTCAGCGATAAACTCCGAACCAAATAAGAATTTACCGCCTACAGTGACAAATCTTGATCTTAAAACTGTAGAGAAAACTGAAGAAATTGAAACTTCTGTAGATAATTTAAGCAGTCAACATACTTTCACCGCTCCACCGATTGTCACTGTGACAAAAGATGTATCAAATAACTCTACTATTGCTGACGTATCCGACGTATCAGATACGCGTGAGAAAATTCAAGTTGGAAATCAAATAAAAGATACTAATTTGGAAGCGTTAACTTCTAATGAAGAAGATAAAATTGATAACGATAAAAAAATAGAACTATTGGATAGCAAACAAAATAGCACAGATGCAATAAATAGAGCTGTTCACAGTGATCAAATAGTGGGTCAAGGGTCATCTTTGTCACATCCACCATTAAAATCATTAAATACTTCGTCTATAGACCACACACAAGCAAATGTTTCGACACAAATGCTTTTACCTCTAAGTCATACATCATCTCATAATAATAATAATTCAAAACCACCCCAATTTGAAACCATGACGCCTCTAAACATAAACAGATCTCAAAGTTATCAGCCAAATGGACTTCAAAATGTATCAAATAATGTACCCCCTCATATTCCTCAAGCGCAAACCACAAACTTACCGTCAAGTTTGCCATCAAACTTGCCAAGTAATACGCCGAACTCTGTTCCTGCAACTTACCAACCACCTCCTGTTTCACAAACTAATAATAATCAGCCTAATATATCAATTTCGCATAATAATCTCACCAATCCCATTTCTATGTCAAATATATCTGGTCATAATCAATCGGCCATGTCACCTGCGATTCTTAACCAAAGTAACATACAACCTATGACCAATATTCCGAGTAATATGCCAATGACGCCATCAAATGTTTCCTCAAATTTAAACAACGTTTCAGTTGGAATGTCATCAATGACTGTCCCAAATATGCACCCAAATATGGCTTCGAACATTCCAACCCAGCAAACTAATATTATGCCAAATATGCCTCATAATATTAGCCCAAATATTATTATGATGGGAGGAAATAATATGCCTCATCCAAATATATCAGGTATGTACCCACCCTCACACCATCAAGAAAGGATGTCTTTGCAACAACAGATTCAAGAAATATATTGTTTACCGCCTTCTAATGAAAACCAAGAGAAAGTAAGATGTCTACAAGAAAGACTTGCTCTTATACAACAACACGAAACAAATGAAAAATGTAATGGTGGTCCTAACTGCGTTTTGCAAAATCCAGTATATGGTACGAAAATGGTAGAAAGCCCACAAGTTACAAGTACGACTGGTCGAGGAAGAGGTAAAGGTCCTGCCAAGCCAAGAAAACCTAGAGCAAAAAAAGAAAAACTAAATGTAAGTGCTTCTTTAGACCAACTACCTGTGTCTGAGGACTGTGTAACTGCTGGAACTGGATTACAAAATACTTCTGAGCTTGATGTAGAAATGAATGAAGATTTAACTAATTTAGATAGTAGCGCACTTTCAACTGAAGACGTTGGAACCAAAGGAAAGAAAAGAGGTCCACGAAAAAATAAAGAAAGGAAGCCACGTGCTCCGAAAGAGCCCAAAACACCAAAATTAGCAACAGATAAACCTGTGAAAGAACGTAAAAAACGAGAGCCAAAGAATCCAAATGCTCCAAAAAGAAAACGAAATGTGAAAAAAGATGGACCAGAGGTACAAGCTGATACAACTACTAGTTACGACTTTTTGGAAAAAAGTAATCCTGAAACTACACCCGTAGAAATAAATGAATCTAGTGCTAAAGTTGAATTTAACAGTACTACAAATTCTGAAATGCCAAATCTTGATGACTCTAATGTAACAGATTTTGATGATATACCTGTTTCAAAAATAGCAATTAAAGATTTGCTAGAAGAAGCGGAAGCCAAACGTGAAGTGGAAAAAGATGACGACACAGATTCAGTTACTCAGAAGAAACGACCCTCTAAGAAGCGGGCAAGTGCTAGCAATAGCTGCAAAAAGAATGTCGTTAAAAGAACACCTGGAGGGGGGAAAAGAAAAAGAAGAGGAGGTATTGTTCCTGATTCTGATGGCGAAGCTGACGACATGATGGCTACACCTCCGCCATCGCCGCCTGCTGAAGGCGATGATAGTTTGAAACGTCGGTCTGCTAGAAATACTCAGCGGAAAAAGTATACTGACGACGTTATGTTACGATTGTCCGACGAGGAATTTGCCATGGCAACGCCTAAAGTTGAAAAAGATCATAAGTTTGAAGATATCGCTACCGAAACCAAAGATAGTATTAAACTAGAAGGTACACCAAAACCCAATTATATGTATGTTAACACAACTGAAGAAGACGCCATGATAGTTCAATATGTACTTGCGTGTCGGATGGGAACGCGAGAATTGAAACATGAACCAGTTCTTGAAAATGTTGTTAAAACTGAAAAAGTGGAAGAAATTATGCCTAACGAATCTGCTGAACAACAAGACGAAGAAAGTGTTTGCCCTAAAGTAGAAAGTGATGATAATCAAATTAAAGATGATATCATTGAGCCTCAAAAAGTTGTAGAAGAAGCAGTAGCGGTATTATCCAATGACCCTAATAAAATTGAAAAAGATCTTACCCCAAAAGATAGTAACGAAACTAAGAATAAAAAACCCATCATGGTGGATGTTGAAGAGTACTTTGTAAAGTATCGAAACTTTTCATACCTCCATTGTGAATGGAAAACTGAAGAAGAACTGTATAAAGGTGACAAAAGGATATTTTCGAAAATAAAACGCTTTAAACAAAAACAGGCTCAACAAATGAATATTTTTGAACTTCTTGATGACGAGCCTTTTAATCCAGATTATATTGAATCTGAGAGAATATTGGATATGTCAGAAAATCAGGACCCTGCCAATAATACTGTTGTAAAACATTATTTAGTAAAATGGAAAAGTATGCAATACGAAGACAGCACTTGGGAATTGGAAGAAGATATTGACGTCGACAAAATTAAACAATTTAGAATTTTTAATGAAATTCCACCGAAAGATAAATGGAAATTTAAAAAGCGACCATCCGCTGATCATTGGGTCCAACTTAAAGAATCTCCTCTTTATAAAGGTGGTAATACTTTGAGACCCTATCAATTAGAGGGACTAAACTGGTTGTTATTTTCGTGGCATAATAATCGCAATTGTATTTTAGCCGATGAAATGGGACTAGGTAAAACTATTCAAAGTTTGACATTCGTCAACTCCGTTTGGGAATATGGTATAAGAGGTCCCTTTCTCATAATAGCGCCATTATCTACCATACCGAACTGGCAGAGAGAATTTGAAGGTTGGACAGAAATGAATGTAGTGGTATATCATGGCTCTCAACAAAGCAAAAGTATGCTTCAAGAATATGAATTTTATTATAAGAATGAAAATGGGGAGCCTATTAAAGAAATAACAAAGTTTAATGTTTTAATAACTACTTTCGAGATCATTGTTACAGATTTTCAAGAACTTAAATCTTTTAATTGGCGTATTTGTGTAATAGATGAAGCGCACAGATTAAAAAATCGGAATTGTAAATTATTAGAAGGCCTACGGCAACTTCATTTAGAACACCGAGTTCTGTTATCCGGCACCCCATTACAAAATAACGTGAATGAACTATTCTCACTGCTTAATTTCTTGGAACCGTCGCAATTTTCAAGCAGTGATGCATTTTTAAACGAATTTGGTCAGCTTAAATCCGAATCAGAAGTTGTGAAATTACAAGCGTTATTGAAACCTATGATGTTAAGACGATTAAAAGAAGATGTCGAAAAAACACTTGCCCCAAAAGAAGAAACCATAATCGAAGTTGAACTCACAAATATTCAAAAGAAATACTATAGAGCTATATTAGAAAGAAATTTTAGCTTTTTGCAGAAAGGAACTGCTTCTGCGGCAAATATTCCTAATTTGATGAATACTATGATGGAACTTAGGAAATGCTGTATTCATCCATATTTATTGAATGGTGCTGAAGATCAAATACAGTTTGATTACAAGCAAACGTATGGAGAAGATAAAGAGGCTTATTATAAAGCATTAATTCAATCATCAGGAAAAATGGTATTAGTTGATAAACTGCTGCCTAAGTTAAAAGCTGGAGGGCACAGAGTTTTAATATTTAGTCAAATGGTAAGATGTTTGGATATATTGGAAGATTACTTATTGTTTAGAAAATACCCTTTTGAGCGAATAGATGGACGTATCAGAGGGAACTTAAGGCAAGAAGCGATTGATAGATTTTCAAAGCCTGACTCAGATAGATTCGTGTTTTTGCTTTGTACTAAAGCTGGTGGTTTAGGTATTAATTTAACTGCTGCTGATACAGTAATTATTTATGACAGTGACTGGAATCCACAGAATGATTTACAAGCGCAAGCACGTTGTCACCGGATTGGGCAACAGAAAATGGTTAAAATATATAGATTAATATGTCGTAATACATACGAAAGAGAAATGTTTGATAAGGCGTCTTTAAAACTAGGTCTGGATAAAGCAATATTGCAAAGTATGAATACAGCTCAAGGTAAAGAAGCAGGGCTGAAACAATTGTCGAAAAAAGAAATCGAAGATTTGTTAAAAAAAGGGGCGTACGGCGCTGTTATGGATGAAGATAATGCTGGTGATAAGTTTTGTGAGGAAGATATTGAAATGATCTTAGCTCGTCGAACACAAGTTATCCAAATGGAGTCAGAGAAAGGTTCTACGTTTTCTAAAGCTAGTTTTGCTGCCGCTGATCAAAGATCAGATATTGATATACGTGATCCTGATTTTTGGAATAAATGGGCTAAAAAAGCTGAAATAGATACAACAGAGAAAAAAGAGGATGAAGATTTGATTGTCACAGAACCAAGAAAACGAACAATTATCAAAAGATATGGTCATGACGACGGTCCTATGGAAATGTCTGATATGGAAGTAACACCTGATTCTGAAGAAGATGAGGAAGGTGGGCATGTTTGTATATTTTTATTTAAATTATAGTTCATAAAATCGATTGAAAATTAAAACTACCTTATTCACGTATTATAAAATCTGCTTTTCAGGAATCGGCCTTAGAAGTAAAAAGAAAAAAGATAAGTACGGTCGCAAAGGAAGGAGATATGCTAGCGATGATTATATACCTCGTCATGAAGGTGTCCCTGTAGACGAAGAAGTAGTTTATGGGTCATGGACGAGATCAGAATGTTTCAAAATCGAGAGGGGACTTTTAACTTTTGGGTAAGACTAATATTTCAATATACTGTTATCACTGAAAGGATAAGTCATTACGACGCTCATTTATAACTTCTTTTTTTACAGATGGGCGAGATGGGAGGAAATTATTGATAAAAATCAGTTTAGAAAGGGGTGGACTCTACCTGTCATTGAAGATTGCGCTCGAATAATTGTAAGATATAAAACTATACATTTATGCACAGTTTTCTAAGCTTCCTCTTTTTTAAACAAAACCACGCACACCAATTAGCGTAGCCCTAAAGTAAAGCACTGTAGGCTTGTGTTATGGGATAATAGGGTAACGGATAGAATACATATACTGATACATATATAAGTATATTTATTAACGAATACATAAACATCCATGACTGGAGTACAAAGATTCGAACCAGTTAGTTACAGTGAGCAAAAACGTTTTTCTCTAATAAAACTTACTTACCAAGATTAAGTGAGAAAAAATATCAGACTATTAATATTTATTTATTAAGCCTAAGTGAGAAAAAACGTGAATGAGAATCTAGCTCTTCAATTCCGCTCATCTCTGCATCATCATCATCACTACTGCTTTCGGTTATAGAAAATCGATTATTGTAGGTTTTAAAACGACAACTATATTTAAAATAAAAACTTGTCTTTTTATTACCTGTATTTAGATTAAAACTAAAGCTTTTTCAGTACTCATTTTCTATACATATGATTTATTTCCTTCTTTTGTTTACAAATGTTTGGTATTTATTCTAAGTGCTAAAAAAAAGTGTACCAAGATTTTTTTGCAAACCATACTTCTCAAGCGACCTTTGATAGATGGAGGTCATTGACTTTCCTATTCTTATTTGAATCGCACAGTAGTAATTTATAGCTCTGTGGATATTTTTGCCTAGGTTGAATGTCTATTTCAAAATAGACATTTTGGCTCAAGCCATTATTCATAAATTTAAATGACACTATGATTTTATTATATTAATTTACTTCGCCTATTTTCTTTCAAGAATTGTGACAAGCATTACACTATGATGATTTGCCATGCTAATACCGAGAAAGCTTGAGGCTTTCACTGAGTTAAATTTCAATAAATCTGATAACTTAGTACATTAGTTCGATTACGAATGTTATGTACCTATGATTAAGTCGTTAATTTATTCCAGGTATTATATTGTTTGCGACATTATAAAGGCGACGAAAAAATCAGGAACTTCATTTGGGATTTGATAGAGCCTTGTGAAAATGGTGAAGTAACAATATCCAGAAATCACAGTGGTTTACATAATCCAGTACCTCGAGGTCGCAATGCAAAAAAGAAAAACAAACCCAAAGAATTACCTAAACCTCATGATACTCTGAAGTGGGAAGATCCAAATCATTGGAGCTCTATAGAGAAATATGACTGTGAGGCTTATTTGGAAAGTAGTTACAAAAAACATCTTTTCAGACATGCAAATAAGTAAGTTTTAAAACAATAATATGTCTCTTTATATTTACAGCAAATCTAAGAAGTTTCGAAATTTCGTAGAATTTAATTTTTCCCAGTCTAATTCCTCATAATAACCCAGAAATTCGGAGCATGCTGATTTATGTTGCCATACCTTCGAAACTGTTCCATTACTTTGTTCTACTGCTGATTCTCACACGTTATCTATGGAAAGACTAAAAAAGCATACTCATACTCTTACTTATTATTAAGTAGCTAAAGCATAGTGCGACCGAAAGTATTATTATAGCTGAAGGATTAGTCGACAAATAAACCCTACATCATTTACATTCAATAAGAAATTCTCAGTGGATATTCGATTTCTTGGACTTATGTTCTCCCTGAACAATCGCATGCATATTCCTTTAATATTTTGGTACATACACAAATATAATATATCAATATTATACTGAATGTATACAAAGTACTTTATGGTACTAAATAGTTGTTTGATTTGTTATTATGCTTAATGATATCATTTTCTGTTTCAGAGTTCTTCTCAGAGTACGCATGATGTATTATATAAAACACGAAGTTATAGGTGATTTTGCTAGTCAGATCGAAAATGGTGTACATGCCAGGTATGGCTAATATTTTTCTATTTTAGTTTTGCTTTAGTTCAGCTCATTCTCTAATAAATAGACAACTTGTAGAGCATAATATGTTTCTTTGAACAATTAAATATTAATCTGAATTAAGACTGATATTACTTGTTTGACATTGCAATTAATGTTTCCTTTTGTCTCGGTTATAGTTCTATCGGCATGCGCGTTCCCCGCGGAGTAGACAGCGCGCCACCCAGACTCTGGTGGGATACCGAGTGTGATGTGTCTTTATTGGTCGGAACATATATACATGGTTATGAAAATTATTTAGCTATGCGTTCAGATCCACAACTGTGTTATGTCGACAAATTGGGTCCACCCGATGATGCTGAATGCACCGATATAAAGTAAGTTAATATACTTTTCACATTTATAATCGTCTATTTGAAAAGTTCATGATCATTTTCTGAAATATGTGTAACCCCGCTTTTAGCCTTGGCCCTTGACTTTAAAATTAAATAAAAAGAAACAAGCAATTAGTGTAGCCCCAAAGTAAGCACTGTAGGCTTGTGTTATGGGATAATAGGGTAACGGATAGAATACATATATAAGTATACTAGCCGTGTCCCGCGGTTTCACCCGCGTTTTTCTCGTTTCCGTGGAAATACCGAGATAAAATATTACCTATATTATAGCCTCCCTTAATAAATGGACTATTGAATATTTAAAAGTTTTCATATCAGATCAGTATTTCCCGAGATTACCGTGTTCATAATAAACAACCAACGTGTGTATTTCCTTAGCAAAGTTATTTTATAAATGTATTTATTATACTCTTCAAAGATCTTATACTTACAATCATCAACAAATATATTTAGAAAAAGATTATTACAGGATTTTATGTTGATAAAAACTCTATGGCCCATAACTCATAAATAGGTACCAACTCTTAACATCTTACACACGTGATAATTTTTGAGATGAAACAAAAAGTATTTTACTTCTACATAAATACTCTTGATAACATAATACTTATTTCGATAATGATTAATATTACGATACATATTTAACGTAGTTTTTTTTTCTTCAGATGATTTAATAATTATTTTGAACACAAAATCGGTTATTGTGATTAAACCATGATAGCTAGATATATGTTCTCGGGGACTTTTTTGTAGGTCTTAATGGGATCTACAAACCCGTAGTACATCATTTTGTTCTATTGTCAATAGTTTTTGCAGCGCACGCAAAAATAGGTTTTCGATTTTACACCTTGTTACAAAATAGCAATTTTATTACGGATCCCTAATTTTGAAAATAAAAAATAGCCTATAGCCTTCCTCGAGAAATGGACTACCCAACACTGAAAGAATCTTTCAAATCTGACCAGTAGTTCCAGAGATTAGCGCGTTCAAACAAACAAACTCTGCAGCTTTATAATATTAGTATAGATTTATTAACGAATACATAAACATCCATGACTGGAGTACAAAGATTCGAACCAGTTAGTTACAGTGAGCAAAAACGTGTTTCTCTAATAAAACTTACTTACCAAGATTAAGTGAGAAAAAATATCAGATTATTAATATTTATTTATTAAGCCTAAGTGAGAAAAAACGTGAATGAGAATCTAGCTCTTCAATTCCGCTCATCTCTGCACTACCGTCGGAGTAGTCATCATCATCACTATTGCTTTCGGTTATAGAATAAAATATCAATTATTGTAGGTTTTAAAACGACAACTGTGTTTGAAATAAAAACTTGTCTTTTTATTACCTGTATTTAGATTAAAACTAAAGCTTTTTCAGTACTCATTTTCTATACATATGATTTATTTCCTTCTTTTGTTTACAAATGTTTGGTATTTATTCTAAGTGCTAAAAAAAGTGTTCCAAGATTTTTTTGCAAACCGTACTTTTCAAGCGACGTTTGACAGATGGAGGTCATTGGCTTTCCTATTCTTATTTGAATCGCACAGTAGTAATTGTAATAGCTCTGTGGATATTTTTGCCTAGGTTGAATGTCTATTTCAAAATAGACATTTTGGCTCAAGCCATTATTCATAAATTTAAATGTCACTATGATTTAATTATATTAATTTACTTCGCCTATTTTCTTTCAAAAATTGTGACAAGCATTACACTATGATGATTTGCCATGCTAACACCGAGAAAGCTTGAGGCAAAGCATTCAAAGAAAACTACAAGCAACATAGGAAAATCTTATAATATTTTATTATAACATTTAACCTAACATGGTTCAATATGTGGGGAAAATAGCAAATTTATGATTATCTGTATTTCAAAATCTATCAAATCTATATATATATATATATATCCTTACTACAAAATGCGGGCTTAAGTTAGATTGTTTTTAAACCTAATGTTGTGTCTTTATTTTTGCAAATAAAAGTGACAGCATCAGTTTCAGTTCAAGTTGAAATTATGACTGGCCTATAACTGCATCATAAGGTATAAGTGCGCCCACGATCTGAGTGCAGTCGGTGTATGAGGTTGCGGGGCGAAAGCACCTTCCCTCGTCGCCAACACTGCCTTGCATATCTATACTGTCATTTTCATTACCCGACCTGTATTTTGGAGCACTAGCGCATTCCCCAGAGCTGCACTCTGATCGCGTGCAAAGTACCATATCTCTGAATTCTTTTGACGACCTCCGTAGCCGGGTGGTATGTACGCCGGGAAGGCGTCGCCTACTCGTGAGGTCCTGGGTTCTGGATTTCCCGGTGGAGCGAATGTTAGTATGATGAATACAAGCATTTGTACTTAAGTCACGGATGTTTCTATGTATTTAATATATTAAAATATATCTATGTATCAGTATATGTATTCTATCCGTTACCCCTAGTATCCCATAACACAAGCCTTTCAGTGCTTACTTTGGGGCTCAGCTAATTGGTGGGAGTGTTGGATATATTTATTTAACATCTACTTAACTTCAACACAGGAGTGAAGAAAGGAAAATTCGAGGTGTAGCGGGCGACGAAGATTGTACCGACGACGTGTCCAGCGGCGCCGGCGCCACCTCGCCTGCCGCGTCACCGCGCCCCGACGACGACGGCGCCCATGGCGGCGGCTCCCATTTATGGCCCTCCATGCAGGACCTTAACACTAGGCTCCGGAGACTCATCACGGCCTACCAACGGAACTATAAACGAGAGGAACTCAAAATGCAACAGAGGGCTAAGGTACACTTACTGTGTTTTTAGTAAAATCTTAAGATTTCACTTGGATTGGTTGGTTACTACGGCGCTCAGGGCGGCGGCTTTCATATGTGGTCCTCCATGCAGAACCTTAACACTAGTCTCCGGAGACTCATCACGGCCTACCAACGGAACTATAAATGAGAGGAACTCGAAAATGCAACAGAGGGCTAAGGTACTTTCTGTGTTTTTATTAAAATCTTAGAGTTCACTTGGCTTGGTTGGTTACTACGGTGCACAGGGCGGCGGCTTCCATCTATGGCCCTCCATGCAGGACCTTAACACTAGGCTCCGGAGACTCATCACGGCCTACCAACGGAACTATAAACGAAAGGAACTCAAAATGCAACAGAGGGGTAAGGTACTTACTGTGTTTTTAGTAAAATCTTAGAGTTCACTTGGATTGGTTGGTTACTACGGCGCCCAGGGTGGCGGTGGCTCCCATCTGTGGCTAAATATACTGATACGTGTATGTTACACGTAATTCCCTTTATATATATGTACGTTCAGGTTTTTAAGAGCTTCTGTAACCACGCCGTGTGTTTTAGAAACACATAATTTCAGGTTGGTAGTATCTTCACTTGACATAGTTAGATGAAATTATTACTTATAACGTACTTATATTCTTATTATTTAAGCATTATACTGCTAAATGTTTAAATCTACTAATATACTATATGGATATACACAGTCAGGTTATAAGTATTGTCACAGTAAAAACTTCTTTTAGAATGCTGGCCACAAAAAAGTTTATTGAATTTGAATTTCGAATTGTTCATGAAAATAAAAATTTTACTACTACTTTTTCGAATTTTACTCATTTTTAAATATGGAGTGGACGCTTAAAGAAGACCATGGTGCAGTTATTGCGTTGCATCGTAGCAGTTACGCGCCAATTCAAATTTTTGCCATACTGAAATATTTTAATATAACCAAAAGATTCGTTTATCGTACCATCAAACCATACAATGAAGACTAGTGTAGATGACAGGTCAAGAAGTGGTCGCCCTCGGTCTGTTAGGACTCCAGCAGTGATAAAAGCTGTGAAGGCGCGAATTCAAAGAAATCCCAAACGTAAGCAGAAACTGTTGGCTCTTCAGATGGGGTTAAGCAGAACCACGGTGAAAAGGGTGTTAAATGAAGACTTAGGGCTTTGGGCATATCGAATAAAAACAGGACATCGTTTGAATGCTCGTCTAATGGATCTGAGACTAAAGAGATGCCGCGCTTTGTTGAAGCGGTACGCGGGAATAAAATATCGGGAAATTCTTTTTTCGGAAGAAAAATTTTTTACCGTAGAAGAGAGCTACAACAAACAAAATGATAAGGTGTATGCACACAGTAGTGAAGAAGCGAGCAACTGTATTCCGCGTGTCCAACGAGATCATTTTTCATCCTCGCTCATGGTATTGGGGCTTCACAGAGGTACATTTTTGTGAGAAAGGTGTAAAAACGAATGCAGTTGTGTATCAAAATACAGTCCTGACCAACCTTGTGGAACCTGTTTCTCATACCATGTTCAATAACAGGCATTAAGTATTCCAACAAGATTCGGCGCCAGCTTATAGAGCGAAGAGCACACAAGACTGGCTGTCGGCGCGTGAAATCGACTTCATCCTGCACGAAGACTGGGCCTCCTCCAGTCCAGATTTGAGTCCGTTAGATTACAAGATATGTCAACATTTGGAGGAAAAGGCGTGCGCAAAGCCTCATCCCAATTTGGAGTCACTCAAGACATCCTTGATTAAAGCAGCCGCCGATATTGACATGGACCTCGTTCGTGCTGCGATAGACGACTGGCCGCGCAGATTGAAGGCCTGTATTCAAAATCACGGAGGTCATTTTGAATAAACTTTATTGTCTTAAGAATCTATGTTTTGTTAAGTTCATTTTGGTATATAAATGTTTACATAATGAATAAACTTGTTTCAAATATTTTATATTAAACATGTGACAGACTTTGTGACCTGACTAGGTATATATATATATATCCTACAGTGCTTACTTTGGGGCTAGGCTAATTGGTGTGAGTGTTGGAAATATTTATTTATTTATTTACACTAGAAGGAATACGATAGCGGAGGGTATAGGGACTGGTGCACTGGTCGCGACTGCTACCTAGTCGCGTGGATTTTTTCTAGATAAAATTTCTTTACATTTAATATCTCATAACGTATTTTTTTATTCCTACTTTTAACAAAGATGGAGCGTCGGGAACGCATGGATCAGCTTGCAAGAGACGAGATAGCTCAATGGCGATGGACACGCGCTGACGAAGAAGCTTTCCGTCGTACCGTAGCGTCGTATGGCGTAGAATTCGATCCAGCAACCAAAAGCCTTCGATGGAGTCGGTTTCGAACGCTGGCTCGCTTAGACTCAAAGAGTGACGATGCCCTTACGGATTACCTGAAAGCTTTCATGGCAATGTGTAAACGCCAATGCGGACTCTCTGTGGGCGAAGCAGAACTACCAACGCGAGCAGATTTGAAAGCTGAACCAATTGGTGAAGAGAGGGCAATAGCTACATTGGAAAGGTAAGTTGTTTAATAAGAAATAATCAAAATGATTGAACAATTTATTGGTTTAAGTCCTGATTTTGTCATGTAGAAAAAAAATCATCAAACTATCTTAAGGTGACTGTGACATCTATTGTTATTTTAAACTGCTCTTGAGGCTCACTTTAAGATTCCGGTTAAATATTATCATTTTTCCATGGCACAATAATAAAAGATGTGATTATTATATTTGTTTTGCAGAATTGACTTATTGCGGGTACTACGAGAAGAAGTTGCTCCTCACCCTTCGTTGGACACTCGCTTGGCATTATGCGAAAGATCTGCTGACACACCCCTTTGGTGGCAATCGGCTCGCCACGATAAACTTCTTATTCTTGGTGTTTGCAAGTACGTTATAATTGATATTTTACTACCACCAACTTACTAGTTAGTTATTCCATAGCCATACCATCACTTTTAGCTGTTTATGTGAGTGATATTATCTAGATGAACATTTGATGCTTAGCCAACCTGTGGCCTAAATGGCGTTACGCTTTATATTATACAGTAATTAACTTAATAAGAATAAATTGGTAACCAATTTTATGTATCTTACAGACATGGCCTAGGAGACACTTACAATAAGATATTTTGTGATCCAAAATTGCCATTCGCCGATTGCGCAACGAAATGGTACGCCAGTCACAGGAGCGGCGCAAAATCCGACTCTCAAAAGATATCGTCGGACGAGGACGAGAGAAATAATTCAGAAGAATCGGCTTGCGAAACGAGAATGTCGCTGCGACGCAGCAAACGCACGAGCAACATGTGCGATCGCGACAACGACGAGGACACCGACGCCCTCTCTGAACTGGAGACGTTGGCGAAATTGGGACGCGTGGAGGGAGCGCTCTCCCCCGACTACTGGTTCACGGAGCGGGCGCTCGAGACGCGACTGCATCACATAGCGCACGCCGTGCAGAACCGCGAGTGGCCCGCCGCCGGGCAAGCAGCGAGCAAACAGGTACTCTTCTTTGCAGGCTGGTATCAAGGTCATAGAGGTACAAGAATAGAGTAGGGGAGATATAGACTCTGCTACAAGTGGAAGTGTCCCTCTAATAGAAAGCGAAAGAAGATAAGAGGCCGCTAGCTTTCTCTCTAATCGCGCATGCGCATTGGCAAACCGTAAGCATCTTACTATTTCGATGTGATGCTTGGACAGACGACTGCATCCGTCACAAGAGAGAGAGATAGCTAGCGGTCTCTCATCTTCTTTCTCTTTCTATTCGAATAACTCTTTTAGAGCCGCCTTCCTCACTCCATTCTTATACCTCTATGATCAAGGTACATTTACAAAGAGTTAGTTTAATTAAGCCTTACTGAATTTGCAAAGTTTAGGTATACGCATTAATTGTCGTTTCGGTGGAGATTCTTCTGTTAGCATTCAATATTTTAGACATTTTACAATCACATATTTATTTATTCTTTTTTTAACAGAATTTTATGAACAAGTATTGCTAATAAATTAATAATTAATTTAATGATGTTCGTATATTCTATGTGGGACTAGGGAATTTAAATGCCAGCTTCATAGCGTACCTATATACTACGAGTAGTTGCTGAATATCAGCAATCTGCCTATTGAGGCAAAAGCTTCTTGCCTATTTGCGTCGCTGTCACTCGTCAATGACTAGTTCATACTAGATATTTAAGAATTGTTCAAACTAACATTCAATGAAGGATTGCAGTAATAAAATGTATAATTAAAGCAGGAGGCGAGAGACACGCCAGACGAGCGGAAGCAGGCGCAGAAGCGGCACATCGCGATCGACGTGGAGACCGACCGCGCGAAGCTGCACGCTTTGCTGTCGTCGCCAGCGGCGGCGCACTGCGGGCCGCGTGACGACGCCTCCAGCGACTCGAGCTCGCGGCGCTCCACGCCCGCGCCTCCGCCAGCGCATCAGCGCCCGCCGCCATCGCCCGCGCCCTCCACCGCCGCCGCCACCGCAGCGGCCTCTACCCCCTCCACTACCGCGCCCGCTGCGCCCGTCGACCTCTCCGCGCCGCTCGACCTCAGCGAGGCGCAAGACTTTTCCATGGGCCGCCGGACGCCGCACGCTGACTCCTCCGTCCCCGCCCCTTCACCCACCACCCGAAGCCGCCTCGACGACACTCTCTCGCGGCTGATGAAAAGAAAAAATGCGGTAAGCTTATACATCTCTTATCTATCTTGCTTTTTCCCGCGCTCTCCACCGCCACCGCCACCGCAGCGGCCACTACCGCGCCCGTCGACCTCTCCGCGCCGTTCGACCTCGGCGAGGCGCAGGACTTCTCCATGAGCCGCCTGACGCCGCATGCTGACGCCTCCGTCCCCGCCCCTTTGTCCACCACCCGAAGCCGCCTCGACGACACTCGCGGCTGATGAAAAGAAAAATTGCAGTAAGCTTATACATCTCTTATCTATCTTGCTTTTTCAGTCTCCAACCTGGGGGGCGATTTACAATTTTGGAGAAAGTTATCAACTGATTAAAGATGCATTTTTGTTAGTACTTGTAAACAATTTCTCTACGTTTCGGATCCTTTACAGGCTCTGTTCTCAAGATAATTTTAAACCAACGAAACTATTGGTTCTTTTTGCTTACATGATTCAACTCATGAAGGAGACAAAAACCTCTCTTGAGTTTGGTGTGCGGGAAAACAGGAAGCAAAATATTTTTTAGATACCTACTAACCTATAAAAGACATTAAAACGTTGAGTGCTCTATGCCCTTAGACATAGAGCACGACATATCGAAGAGATGATGTATATATATGTATGTATATTATTTTTTAAGCATTTAACTGCTAGATGTTTAAATGTAAAGAAAATTTTACTAGAAAAAAAAACTACGCGAACCAGGCAGCAGACGGGACTCGAACCCGCACCCTTCGCTATCCGGGCGAATGTACTGACCACTATGCCACTACAGTCCTGATGGCCCTGTCGAATTTTCTGTAGACCTTAGGCTGCAAGGCAGCGCCATCTCTTCGCATTGTAAGTGTCAAATGAATACCTTTACAAGTATTAAACATGTAGGGGTTCCTTAGATAGGCGATGGTGGTAGGTTCCTACCACGGATATAATTAGAAGGAGTAGCAAAATGAAAAGAGGTTTCGTATTAAATATCGGCGCGCGGGCAGACGAAGTATAAATGCGTCCGTATGAGCGGCGTGCGCTCCGCGTCGTGGTCAGTTTATCACTGGCGATCTGCAACGTCTATCGATAGCTTGCATTCAATAGAACGCACAAAAAATTTGGAAACAAAAGGATGCGCTAAGACTGCTCGTACAGCGCGGAAGCTATACTTGCGCGTCGTTGATACTACGCGCTTCGTATAGTATATAGTTAAGTTATGTAAATATTCAGTTTATAAGATATTGTATATAATATATAATTATGTAATATGTTAGTATAAGTATTTAGATGTAAGTTATTTAAAAGTCTGTATTAGTTATGTAAGTTATAATGTAATAAATAATGTTTTATAAGATTTTATATAAATAAATATAAATACGGCGGCGCCACAAACATTTAAAATAAGAAATAGCAATTATAGTTATATTTTTTACCCACGCCAGTGCATTCGCCGGGATAGCGTAGGGTGCGGGTTCGGGTCCCGTGTGCTGCCTGGTTCGCGCAAACTTTTTCTAGGAAAATTTTCTGTAGATGGCGTTTAGTCAAATTCTGTGAACCGCAGGTAAATCCCCTGCTTGGGTTTATTAATGAACCTAAATCGATCTTCGCTGACTTTAAAATTGAATAATTTCAATATTTATGCATTTTTGAGTTGAATTATTCTCATGAAGCAACTATGTACATGTTGTAGTGACAACCATAATTAAATCGAATCTAAATTCTAAACGACTAGGTAATATAGATATTCGTTCTTTCAATCTTCATGTAATTAAATTTCACATTTAAGAAAAATATATTTCTTTTGCAGCCCGCACCCGAGCAAATTGTTGGTAAGGAAAAAAAAAGAAGAAAGCTCGACGAAATTGTATTGGGGCTATCGGCAGCGAAAAATCGCAGTCCTTCATCAGGATCTATTTCTGATACAACTCGCAATCGTAGCACACCGATTCTTCCCGACGTCACAGTGACTCCCGCAGCTCCGCCGACGTCGTCGTCTGCGGCATCTATGCAAAAGCCATTTTCGGTTACTGTTACTAACGTACCTTCACCACAGGCTTCATCTAAAGAACTATCGTCTTTCTTACAGCAATCTTTAGAACAAAGTAAACCTACAAAAGCCACTACTTCGACAGCAGCAATGAAAGGCTACTCCCACGAGGCTAAAGTAAATAAATGGTTAGCTGATCAGGCTAGTATTGATTCACGTCGCCGAGGTTTAACCCCACGCTTAGCACCGGATGAACATGTTCCTGTTGTACACCGGGTAACAGGAAAACGAATTGTAGGACATAAAGCTCCGCAACTAAAACATCTAGCTCAATGGATTGCTGAAAACCCAATGTATGATATTGATTCCAAGTGGACGGAAGGTATTAAAGAGCACGTAAAATTACCACAAGATGTACGAAGTCAGAGGCATTCTCCTATGCAGTCTACGAATTCTGTGGGCGAACGTAAGAAAGGACGCCCCCCAACTCTTGATACTCCATCACCAAATGTTCTGTCATCTAATTCTCATTTGAATCAAAACATGAGTTCTTTGAATCCTGCACTTCTTGCTAGCCTATCAAGTCTAAGTGCATTCGATCCTAAAGCTTTAGCAGCTACTCTGTCAAATTTGGCTGGATTTGACCCAAAACTTTTGAATACATTCGACCCAAAACTGTTATCAAGTCTAGGTAGCTTTGATACTAAAAATAACCCACTAATCAACTCTTTTGGTGCAATGCCTAATCTACTAGGCAATATAGCAGGAGGTTCTTTATTCGCTAATTTAGCTGGGTTAGGACTTCCCGGTTTTTCATCACTTGATATGAACAGTTTAGGCGCTGCTAGTACTTCAGGGGACAAAACCAAGCAGAGAAAACTCACAGAAGGTGGAGGTACGTCAAGTTCGAAAGCTGCCAATTCTCAATTTCCATTCGTTTTCCCTAATCCCAATATGCTATACCCTCAGTTAGGATTAAGTGGACTTAATCCCTTCGGTATGCATTCGGGAATGTCTTCTGCTTATGACGCTTTAGGGCTTCTAAGCAATAGCTTAGCTGCTAGTTCAGGTTCCTCAACATTACATAGTTCTTCTCGTAGCAATACAAAAACTACGACTCCAAGGTCATCAACAGTTGTAACAAATTCTTCTACGACCCGGCAGCAAAAAGTTTCTGATAGGCAGCAGTCGAGTCATTTACCACAAATACTTTTACCCCCCGACCCTTATTTATTGGAATCTTTGTCTAAGCAATCTTTGAATTACGACGCTGTTCTTCGATCGGATAAAAGATCGCGGGACACTGACAACTCGGAAACCAGCGCTACTGATTTATCCAAAATAGATAAAAAGAAACCACCCTTTGACTCGTTGCGATCGCAAGTTCCTCCAGAATTTGCTGCTGTCCAAGAAAAGTTATTAAAAGGTGACAAAAAGGATATAGATATAAGCAAAATGTTATTGGAACAGATGGCTTCAGGCGCTTTAAGTGCAAGTCTTGTTAGTTCCGCTGAGGCAAAGAAAGCAAAGGAAGCTGAAAAAGATGCATATGAAAAATTGAGTAAAAGTTCATCGGAATATATCGCTAGAACTCTTGCATCGGAAGATGCATCAAATCTATCTTTAGCACACAAACGTACACATAGTGACATGAGTTCTGAACCAGAAAATTTGGCAATGCCTTCAAATGAATTTAATTCGATAAAAAAAAATAAGGAATCTAATTTGTCTGAAAGTAATATAAATAAAGAAAAAACTGCAGACCCTGCAGCAAATACTGGAGAAATGGATCTTGAAGACTTGATAGCCCCTTTAACTGTCATCAAAACAGGCATGAAAGCTAATGATTTCGAAAGCAATGTTTCGAAATCTACATTAACTGAAATATCATCTTCAAATACAGAACGTGACGAGAAGTCGCAAAATAAATCGAGTTCATTTTCAGAGGATCTCCCCAGTAATAATGATCATAGTCAAAATGTAGAAAATGTTGGCAGCAGAGCTGATGATGATAATAAAGATAATCTTACTGACGATAATAATACTGGCGAGTGCTCTAATGATATTAGTCGAAAGGTTAATAAAAAAAAGGGTCGCAAGTCCACTGATGAAGCTACCGTAACATGTCCCCGGCGTGAATTACGCTCCAGTTCAGGGAGACAATCAACAGATACCATTGCATCCAGTCATTGAACGTAATGTTTGATGTGATTGAAACTCGTGCAGACTCGTATCAGATTACTTTATTTTATATTATTGCTACCGACAACCTGGGGTTATTTTTAACATTGTGGCAAAATTAAGTTACAATCATTTGTCTTGGGATCATTAGAAGAAGATTTTTTGATACTAATGTTTTTTTAAACGCGTTTTCAATCTGGTATCAAAATTACTTTTAGCTTATGAGTTGGATTTACGAACATTTGTGAGTTTTTATTAATACTATTTATTATTTGAAGTCATAAACCACATTTATGGAAATCAATTATATGTACTATTTTTTTTACAAAAAGGTTTAGAATAGAATCTCAAATTAATCGTTAAACCCGGCAGCTTTAAAAATATTATATTTGAAAGCTTATTGGCCAACTATATTTAATCGAAGTACTTCGGCGTTGATGAAGAATGAGTGTTGAAACTTAGTAGGTATAACTAAAAAAAGGTTTAAAGGTTAACATTAAAACATTTATCTAGTGTTTTAGGTCAGAAAAAAACAAATGATCCTAAGTGAAGATCACAAAATAAAAACCTGTAAGACAAACCCTGTTTTAAATGTTATAAGTAGTAATTTAAGGTAAGGTAATATAAGACTATCATCTTTTTTATCATGTATAATAATAGTAATTAAAGACTGGAAATTCTCCATATAATTATTTAGTTTCTTGTACGAAAAATATCTTGCTTTAAGATACTTTATTATTTTGAACATACTCAATAAAAAATATTTTTTTTTGTAGAATTTAATTCATATAAAAAACAATGGCTCCTCTTCTATGATGGCCATTAGAAAATGTTGTACTAATTTTCCTAATCACATAACCACTTGAGTAATTAAAGTTCATTTAATTATCCAGTTTGGCATTTCTAAACAAACACTTCTTATTTTAATAGAAAATGGGTAAAAAAAAACAAACACAAAGTGCAACATTATGTTAATCATGAATTGAAAGATCTGCTACCTAATGAATTATGTGTTAATTTTATTACCTATTACAATATACTAGAACATTTCGATGTGATTTCAAGATTTTAATTGAAGATACATCTAATATATAAAATTCTTGTGTCGCGGTGTTTGTGGTTAAACTCCTCCGAAACGGCTCGACCGATTTTCGTAAAATTTTGTGTGCATATTGGGTAGGTCTGAGAATCGGACAACATCTATTTTTCATCCCCCTAAATGTTAAGGGTAATCCACCCCTAAATTTTTTTTTTCAATTTTAGATATTTTTTTTTAGTTTTTTTATGATACATCATACAAAAATAAATATAACCCAAAATTTTCGCCCTTCCACCACCAACCTCTATTCTTTTATGGCGGTACGAAGTTCGCTGGGACAGCTAGTTGTTATATAAAATTGTGAAAAAAGTTTGCTTTTAATAAATTCACACTGTTCAGTCAAAGAAGTAAATATAGTCTTCTATTAGGAGTGAATCCCATACTAAAGATCTCGAACATAATCATGTTAGAGGATGAACACTTAAAAGTTGTAGTTTGACAACTTTCTCATCAGTTGTATTTGTATGTATTGACATTAACTTATGACCACTATACTGTTGTTTCAATATAACTTTTTTTCAATTAAGTTATAATTTTATTCTATCTACTAAGTATAATTTTTGTTATGCAAGTTCATTTTCATATGTTGTATTTTAATTGTAAGCGTTAAGTCGAAACACTGAATGTGATAAGATTATTTATTACATGTATTATTCTATTATTTTGCATTGCTCTATTGATAAATTGTATTATAGTAACTAAGTGACAAATCGTAAATAAATATTGAACTGATTTAGACAAATATGAGAATTCATTCAAAATCTTGGTTTTTCCCTTTTCTCTCAACGATAATAAAGACCCTAGATAGATAGAACATAAATCGCACTCCACATTCTCGAGGTCTCGGCTAAACGTTTTGTCGAGGAGCGTTAAAGAAAGTACACGAGGCCGGGGTTAAGAGCCCGTGGTCCAACCGGTTTGTCTTACTGGTGGGACCACGGTATACCACCATGTACCCGACGCGTATTGTATACAAGTACCCTTAGTATGAGTTTTTTTAATACGAAACGAACGATAGTCTTCGTCGATTCGATCAAACTACATGTTTTCGAATTGTGTCGCAGTACGAGTATAGATTTTCACTGCTCGTTTTCACGATATCGCACAGAACAATATTTGCGATATCGTATGCTCGATGACTCCATTAAACGAACTTCACACTGTTTAGTTTTGTCTCTTTCGTTCTTTATTGCCAAAAAAGAGATAGCGGAACCATTCATTCAATTTAACCTTTTTTTAAAGATTCTCCCTTGTTATGGAAGGCAAAGGGAACACTGCCCATACAACCTAAACTTATGTTGTATTAATCTTATTTTTTTTACATTAGAATGTCGGTGTGACGCATTCTAATGTTTCTTGGAATGTTTGGCACGAAATGTATCGAGTTGGCTTTTTCAATAAGCTTCTGTGAGGTAGCCAACATACAATAAAATTCTCACGTCCACTTGACCGGAATAGCGTATATTTTAAAGATTCCACTAATTCTTTAGTTGCGCAGACGGTTGTAACACAAAATCACACCAATTTTGTTTCACAATATCCACTATGAACGAATTTAAGAATAATAAAAATAAGACGCCAACCGCACTAGATGAAATCGCGCCAAAAATTACCAATTCAACCTTAAACAAAGCTAATCTTAGTATATACAGGTGTAAATTTTGAATGCCACCCCCAGGGGAAGTACTCTTAATACTGGAGATAGATAATTTTACTCAAAGGAAACATTCCTTTATTTAAAAAAAAACAACTGCATTCAGTTTTTCGAAAATTTGCTTGCCAGACCCGGGAATTGAACTAGCGAAAATTCGAATATAATGACACCCTGTATTTTTATAGCATCGATCGATAGGGTCAATCATAGGGATCATATCTTACTAACAACTTTACATTAAATGGAAGGAAAAGCGTGAAATCTTAACTGAATGGAACAAGACTAAAAGCAGTTTTATCCCACCAGATTACACGAGTTAGAATTTTTATTATCTTCGACGTCATTTATTCGTTCAAATAACAGATTAAGAATTTTTTGCGCATGTCTAAAATGCAGACTAAGGTACCAGTCTCATGGGGGGGGGGGGCGCCGTACAACCTCTTTGGTACCAGTAATGCAGAGGTATGTTACATATTTTTGAAAATGGAATAGCGAATAGTTGACCCTTTTTGGAAAAAGGTTTAAAATGGTTAATAAATGTTCTATTAGACCGAAAAAAAATGTATTATATTTTTTTTAAACCTAGAAAGCTACAAATCTTTAATTTCAAAATAGACTTTTCATGGACGTACAAAAAGGCTGTCGGCCATTTTAGTCTATAGATTATCTATGCTATGACGTGAACTGTGGTAAACAAAAACTCGTAAACACGTAGAAAATTACTTATAACTGAGTTTATAATAAAAAAAACATGATTTCTAATAAATACCACGAAAAATAAAGTAATTATCATTACTGTATTGTACGAGAATATAAAAACACATCCTTGAAGACTCCAGGAAAGTTGTGGATTAAAGTGCCGAAAGAAATTAACCTACGCAACTTTATTACACTTATTCATATGTTGTATCAGTTTTATGTTTATTACTACATTGTAATACTAAATGCACTGTACTTACATAGATGCCTTGTCGTTTCTCTGCTCCGCAGAGCAGAAATCGGGGTTTAGTGCAACAAATTCACCAACCATCAATGCGTCAATTCTTGGCAGATTTGTGCTTTCTGCTTTCACAAAGCCGGCATCCATAATTAGTTTAGTGAAAAAAAACTAAGTTTACTGTTTTTTTCTTTCCTAAAGTTAAGTTTTTTAAGATAAATTTAGTCAGACGAAAGAATCCACCTACAGTAACACGCGAATGACATTTAGTTGTTTACTACAAGAGACTTCAAAATCATGGCGGATGTGGCGAACAGCGTTTTTGGTGTTTAAAAAATATAGACTAGAAAATATTTTTTAAAATTAAATTTCTACAGTAATCTTCTGCTTTTATGAAGTGAAATCGATATATTAAGGTTCCTTAGACTAAACACTTTAAGAAATAAACATTTATTTAATACAATTCGACATGAGGAAACTAGCCTATTATTGTCTTAAGTCTTGTTTGCTGCATCAAAATTTACCATAATAAATAATGGCTTATCTAGAACAATTCGATTTAATTGAAGCATTTTTTAAATCACAAAGATGTGAATTTAGCTCTGCGGTGGTATGGAGAGACATATCCGGATCGACAAGTACTAACTTGATTCATTTTAAAGAGAATGTTTGATAATTTAAAAAATACTGGGTTACAAAAGGCGACAGCAACAGCAACGTCCTCAGCAGATCTATTCCGATTTTGATTTAAGTGTTTAACATACTTCGAAGCATATCCAAAAGCAGAGAAGCTGCCGAATAAATTGGAACCAACCACACTCGCGTACTTGAAGTGCTGGAAAAGTATAAGTACAAATGTTTCATGATGGTCGGTTGGTTCAAAAATTGCATCCTGGGGATCGTGGAAGGCGACTACTATTTTGTCAAAACATGCTGGCAGAAGTTGCTCGTAACCTGGATTTTTTGAGTAATATTGTATGGTCTGACGAAACCCACTTCAGTAATAACGGCATGTACAACCGACGCAATAACCACTATTGGTCTCGAGTGAATCCTTTTCGTGTTCATGAAACTAACAGTCAACTAAGATTCTCTTTCAACGTTTGGTGCGGAATTATGAAAAACATGGTTGTGTTAGTCCACGTGTACGATGGTCATTTAAACACTGTCAAGTATCTTGAAATACTGGTCCTCTTAAGAAATGAGTTAAATAATTTACCTGAGGAAGAGAGACATCGTATAATTCTACCACAAGATGGTGCTCCGGCCCATAACAGCAGAATCACCGCTGCCTATGTTAAAAATCATTTCAATACCTGGATTGGTACAAACGGCACAATTAGATGGCCTGCGAGATCACCAGATCTCACGCCTTTAGATTTTTTTGTGGGAATATGTAAAAAATAAAATTTACCTAAAATCCTATGCAACTGTAAACGAGTTAAGAGCTGAGATTCACAATACCATTTTTAATATTCATCACAACACGCTATTAAAACTTACTAGAAATGAATTCCTTAAAAGATAAAATTTGTATATCCAACAAAACGGAGATCATTTAGAGCAACTAATTATAGTAAGAATGATATTTTTTTGTTCAAATAAAATAAGTTAAGATTTCATGCTTTTCCTTTAATTAAATGTACCAAGTTTGTTTGTAAGATATGATCCCTATGATTGACCCTATCGATCGATGCCATAAAAATACAGGGTGTCATTTTTTCGATTTTTTGCCACTTCGATTCCCGGGTGTGGTAAGCAAATTTTCGAAAAACTGTAAATGCAGTTGTTTTTTTTTAAAATAAAGGAATGTTTTCTTTGAGTAAAATTATCTATCTCCAGTATTTAGAGTATTTCCCCTGGGGGTGGCATTAAAAATTTCCACCCTGTATACTATGAAATAATACAAACATTGATGATAATGTGATCGAAATCAGAGTACATCATGTGATCGAAATCAGAGTTATAATAAATTAGAGTTCTCTCGCTCCTCTCAGAATAGCTAAAATTCTAAAACTTTATAGCTTTATATATTGATCGGTAAAGGTCGATCTTAAACGGTCTCTCCTACTATTAGAATTAATTTCGCATAATTATATTGCGTAAAAGTTTGATTAGGTTCACCCACGCTAATCAATCATCTTGCTGAGTCAACAAAAGTCACGAAATGCTGCAAAAAACGTGGAAGGGAAAAATAAGAGCTGGTGGGATCCGACGAAAAGTTTTATTTGTCAATCCTGAAGTTGGAAAAAACTAAACGCGGAGAACAACTTACCACAAACTAGATCCTACATTAAAAAACTATAACAAATAAAGCGTTTTACTAGTTAATACAAAATGATTTTGGTATTTACGTAAACCACTAAAGATTACGGGCTCCATAGTAGTTCATTTGAAAAACTTCACAATGAAATTAGTATTACTAGACTGAGTTAAGTACGCTTCAACGCAGCGCGAGCGAAACGGCGGCGGCGGGCGAGTCCGCAGTTCCACACAGCTGACTAGGACCAAGTATTCTTGTGGCCGCTCCACATTCTGCGAGAACGCAAGAAACATGTGAGAAACGTGAATGTGGAAGCGATTCGCGTATTCATCTCAAGTTCTCTCGTTATTCTCCAGCTTTTGTCAGTCATATTTTGCGCGAGAACGTGTATTGACTCCACACTCGCATGTTTCTCAGTAATGACCTTATACTTATTACTCTTTGGTAACGATCGAGCCGACGATTTGGACGGTTGTATCACAGAATGTATCTGTGGTTTTATTGTGTATGGGTGCGGCCAGAGTGCACTCAAATTCAGATTCAGATTCCGAAAACAAGCGCGAGAAATAAACAGTGTAGTCGAAGGGTACGGCCAGAGTGCACTCCTGATTCAGATTCAGATTCAACTCAGAAAACAAAGCGCGAGAGAAAGCAGGCAACCTGCTTAGACTACACTGTTTATTTCTCGCGCTTGTTTTCAGAATCTGAATCTGAGTGCACTCTGGCCGCACCCTACCGCGTGGCATAATAGGGAAGATGCAATATTTTTATTTTTGTTTTCATTTTAAAGAATTCCATGTAGAATAAACCACAGATATATTAAAAAATTAAAACATTGTAATTTATCGGAAAAAGTGCGGTTTTAAATTGACAGTTTAAATTTTCGCGCGAAAACGGACCTATGGTTCCGATGACGTCACTCCTGTCTGACACTGGTCGTACTTGTTCGTCGCTGGCTTTCAATTTTCATACTTTTGGATATTTTTTCGACTTTCGAGATATTTTATTGCAAAAATTTAAAATGGACTATCCATCAACATCAGGTGATCATAACAATACCACTAATATTCAGAAAACAAGCCGTGTTGACTTATGTTTTGTGCCAATGTGTCCATCTACTTCAACAATATATCCAAATAAATTGTTTTTGACTTTTGATTGAATTAATTTAATTGACCCAAAATTGAGAAAAAAGTGGTTTCAAGCTGGGAGGAGAAATGACAATTATTTTTTTAAGACCATTATTCGATGTTGTGAAGATCACTTTGACGTAAGTCGGCGAATATTTTTATTATATGCTTAATTAATCTGCTTGTACGTAAAAACGCGTTAGTAATCTACCTAATACTTACAAAACCTGTCTATAACATATTTTTAATTTTACAGTTGGAGAACGACGTCAAAAATTGGATAAAGTTTAAAATGTGTGGTACAATCTTCACATTGGCAGGACTGAACCAAGCTTTGCGTTTCATTTAAAATAACTGTAACACGATAACTTTCTTTACGTA